TGTTAGTTAGTTCAAATGGTTGTTGCCCAGATTTTGGCCTCTTCACTCGAGCGAGGCTTCTTGTGCTCGAGCGAGACTTGTGGAATTTGCTTCTTCGCTCGAGCGAGGTTTCTTGCGCTTAAGCGAGAACTGAGGGTCTTCAGGTCTCTTTCCCAGACGCAGCTTTTCTGGGAAGATGTAAGTTCTTCGCTCGAGCAAGACTTCTTGCTCTTGAGTGTGTGTCTGCGTTTGTGGCAGACCTGAAGCTTTGTATTGTGTGCTCGAGCGACGTTTCTTGCGCTCGAGCAAAGTCACCTGTGTGTCTGGTGGCTCGAGCGACAACTCCTTCACTCAAGCGAGCCTTGCATATATCAGTTCGCAGCAACGATATTTTATATCATTTTTTGGTCCCATTCTCACTCAAAACCCTAGCACAGCTCCACCCCTCTCTAAAATTCACTCTCTCTCTCTCTCTCTACATTTTCACCCCCATCCATTGATTTCTCTACCCTTAGGCCTTTGTTAAAAAGGTAGAGCACCTTGAAGACTATGTGTTGATCCGAGTAGATCTTGGTTTTGGCTTATTTGAAGTGTCTCCATCGCCTCCTTTGGTCTCCTAACTTTGAGGTAGGGATATTTGTCACGACCCAAACCCGTCCCTGTAGGTTTAGCATCGTAACTGGCCAGTAATCTGTGGATTACCAAAGGCCTCTTAACAGATAAGCACATGATAAGGGGCTGCGGAAGCAATTATACAAAATAAACAAGGTCCAATGAGCTGTGATAACATACATGGGACAGAAGATTTCAAAACATGCATATATATAAGCGTCTCGGTCGGAGGACATCAATATTTACAAAACATTTACAAAAGTGTAATTCCCAGGACCCGACTTTACAAAACAGACAGAGACTAGCATAAGTACAAAAACAGCCATGTAACTAGACTTCGAGCGGAACCTCCTCGGGAGGCACAACGGTTGGCTGACAAAAACATAAATGAAGGCCGTCAACTCTGGCCCTGATCACGCGCCGGCTCACCTACATACATAATATAAACTGTGAGCGAAAGCTCAGAGAACAATAGCAAAGTAAAAGGGTTTCAATGAATGAGTCTGTACAGATTCAGAAATCATAATTTAGTTTCGTATCAAATTCATAATTTGTCGAGATCGTATACAGAAATCATGAGGTATGCTTAGGTTTACGTGATACATCCATTAGCATTAACAGAGCAGATACAGAACAGATGCAGACACGTGAGGGTTACGAATAACCAGTTCCATAAAGGAACCTCCGGATCCAGGTAACAGAGAATAAACACGCTGAGCCCCATGATGGGGCCTCCGGTACGGGTAACAGAGTGTAGACAGATTAAGTTCCATGATGGAACCTCCGATACTAGGTAACAGCCAACAGATATCACATGATACTAAGGATGTCACGAATACATATCAGAAATGGGACAATCATTCATTGTACAGAACATAACATTTCAGAAAACAATTCCTATTTCATCATACAGAAAATAAATGAGGTTGAACATAGCTTTACTATGTTATTACTCACAGTTGGCCTTGAGACAGATAGACGGGGCAGATTGGTCAAACGGTACGTGGCACGTGACCTATATAACACATAACAGACACACACTTGAAACTCAAGTTTTAATTGTACATAACTTACTTCGTTGGCTCTTAGTGTGTTCTAGCCTTTAATCCTCATTATGGAGTCTTAAACATGGCCTAGACATGCCTGGGATGGAATGAGGATGCAAGAATGCATTGGAAAGCATTTCTTAAAACTTGCTGAAAATAAGGTCCACGCTCGAGCGTGGATTTCCCCACTCGAGCGGACATGCAAACAATGAAGCTCCGCTCGAGCGTGACTTTTCCCGCTCGAGCAGACTGTAAACTCTTGAAAAAGTACTAGATGCATGATTTTCACGCTCGACAGACGCTCAACCTCCGCTCGAGCGTCGATTCCCTCGCTCGAGCGGACTGTAAAACACAAGAACTTCTGGGTATATGCATTTCACGCTCGAGCGTAAACATCGTCGCTCGAGCGGAAGTGCATGTACTCAGAGTTCACGCTCGAGCATAGAGTTTCCCGCTTGAGCATGAATCAAAAATCTAGAATTTCCAGATTGATCCTCAAGCTCAAAACTTGACCTTAAAAGCATTAAACTCGATTTTTCTGGGCCAAAACTTGAGAAAATACATGAAGACCCTTAAAATAACATAAATTAAAGATCCATGAAGTCATGGTTCAATGGCTTGCCCATTGTACAAAATTCCAACACAAACTTTATGAATATGCCATTAATACAGCATGCAAGAACTTCCTTGAATTCAAACCCCCCAAAACATAATCAACCTTGGTAATTTAATGAAAAACATGGTGAATGACCAAAATGTAAGTGAGGTTAACACATGCATGAAAGAAACCTTTGAAATCATGCTCAAAATGTGAAGAAATGCACACGCATGCATGAATTCACTCTTAATTCCACTCTTGTAGCTCAATTCCCATGTTAATCCACCTAACACCATTAATTTCATACTCTAATCAACCAAACTTCAAGGCTAGAGATTAACATTCTTACCTAGGGATCTCAATTCCTTAAACTAGAAATGGTCTTGAGTGATCTTCCAAGTTTTCCTAGCAATTCCCTCCTTGTAAATTCAATCTTCAAGCTCTACACCAATTCTCTCTTCTCTCACTCTCTCACCCGTTTGTCTCTCTTGGGCAAGCACAAAATGTGATGGAATCAAGAAAAAGGAGTGAGTGGGCTCAAAGTGGTGCCTCACATAGGCTTAGATACAAATAAGATTAATTGGGCTTACTTGGTGCACTTTAATTTAATCTAATTTAATCATTCCGAACCAAATTTTAATTAGACCTACCATAAAATTCTATAAATCCTAATTAGCACATAAATCAAGTCAATTTCTGATTCGGACGTAGATAAGGCTTTCAATTCACAAATCGAAACTAAAACATGAACAGATCTTTCTACACCGAACAGATAGAGACACAAAAATAATGCAATACACATGCAAATTAATTCCAAATCCCTCCTAGATTACTGTTAGGCATAATTAAGTGCAGATTAGCGTTAATCATGGGTCGGGGTTGTCACAATATTCTACTCTTGATATGAGTTTTAACCTAGATGTTTGTCATTTTGTATAAATTGTGGAATTTAGGAGTGATTTGGGTAAAAGTCAAGGTTTGGGCTCTAAACAAAAATGGGGTTTTCATGTTGATTTACAAGTAACCTTGGGGATTTGTGTATGAGGTTCTTTATTGTTGAAATGGTGAGATTTGGACTTATGGGTTGATGTTTTGGAATAGAGGAAAAATTGCCCTAAGTTGAGTTGAAATAACTATCTGTGTAAATAATGAAGTTGGTTTGGAAATTATGAAATTAGGGGAATATGTGATTGAATAGTGTAGTTTGATTTGATAAATCACTCACCTATGAAAAAGTTAATAATTTATCTGTTGTTAGATTTGTTTATCTGTCTAGAAAATATCTATTTTGGGCTATCTGTGGAGGATAGCTATGATTGTTGTAGAAACTGCATGAGGACTAGATAAATTGGAACTAGTCATATGAATATTGTCATTGAATATGGCGGATTGGTTAAATTGTTGAATATGTGAATTTTGGTAGTCATTGTATATGACGACGTGTTTAAATACATTGTATATGTATCATTGTTTGGGAGGAAATAGGGGATACACTCCATTGTATGGGAGGAGATAGGGGATGGACTCCATTGAGAATTAAGTTGGCCGGAATGTCCAGGGTAAAAGTTCTGAAATCTTATATATTTATGAGTGCCGGTTCCCTTGGACGTGGTTCCGTAAAATGGCAAGAAATAGAAGTGTTGGAGTGATGAATGTATTGAATTGTGAACCATTGAGTTGTAGTTTCATATTGGTTGCTTCGATAATAATGAATTTGGTTAATTGATTTACTCGAAGTAGAAGAATGAAAATGAATTGAGATATTGGTTATCTATATTGAATGACCTTGAAAAGAATATGTGTTGGTTCGAAATGTTGCACATTTATCTGATACTCATATTTTAGTTAATTTTCATATATTGTTTAGCATATCTCTACTGGGTTTGGCTCACCCTACTTGGGAAATCATTTTCAAGTACAAGTAACATACAGCCTCCAACAACATAACTTGGGAGGTTTAGGAGCTGAAGGCTCCATTTTGCATATTTTATCTTGTGTTTAATGTAAATTCAAGCCTAGGGATTTATATGTATAGAGTTAGGACTCTTTTTTTGTTGTAACCAAATGATAACTTGAAAAGATATAAGCCCGTAGGGCACTCATTTTTGTTATTAGCAGTTTGAGTTACATGCTATAGTTTTAAGATAAACGTTTATGAAAGTATAATGCACGTAGTATTTTTTGTAATATTAATTCTAGTAAATGAAAATATAACATTTCTATTATGTCTATAGATCTTATGAATGGTTGATTTATATAAAATTTTGAGGGCGTTACAATCCTAACTTTAAGCAACTTCAATTTCTGTTTTGAGTCCAGATAATCCTTGTGTATGCACATAATTACCTGTAAGCAACATAGATTGGGTAATACCAACCATAGACACTAGTTCCATCCTAAATATAGGTGGTTAGCACACCAAAAAGGAAGCTGAGTAAGAGAAGTTTTTAACTTCTGCATCTTAATTATCGATTTCCAGCTTGAGAAACGCTACATCAAACAAGCCCAACATCTAAACAATAAGGTCTCCAATGTACCCAAAAAAAAATATATATATATATATACACATGAACAATAAATGCATACACACTACATACATGCTTGATGTGCAAGCTATGTGGGGTTTCTAAACATGGAAGGCATATAAAAGTTGGCACCCAAAAATATCAGGTTTCTGCAATTCAGTAATCTGGCACTTTCTGACATTGACAAAGCAACATTACTTTTTTTTTGATAAATAACAAAGCAACATTACTAACAAAGGATGAACACACAAAAAGAACATATTCAACATTAACCATTATTTAGGTACTGCTCAATTGAACTCTTCATCATATGCTAGAACCCCGCATTACATTACTTGCAACTACGACATATACATTCAGTGTAACAACATTGTATATTCGAAACAATTACCTGGTCTAGAAAAATGGGAATAATAAAGAATGATGAAGCAAAAATTAACATACAAAAATAAATGAATTATGCCACTTTAACTCCACTAGGTCGTTTTCCTTCCATGGCATCCTTCTTATCACGGCAATCAGCACAAAGGAAAGGACCTTGCCAGGGCTTCGAGCTCATTGAGAAGATAGAACCAGCATGAACAGATATGCCCTCACTTGGAGCAAGATCAACTTGGCAAATGGCACATATGAACAGACCAGTTGTTGATTGGCTGCTAGAGTCGTCATTTCCTAATCTGCAAATCATGAAAACAAGAAGAGCAATAAAAGCAACTGAAAAAACACAAAAGGTGAACTGAATAAAAGACAATTTAAGATGGTGAAATGGAATCATCTAGAACATGTATTTTGAAAAATCTACCACAGGGGAACAGATTAAATGCGTGAACTGAAACACCCAAAAAATAAAAATAATAATTCTATGATCAAACAATTTTGGATATTCTGTGAAACTTCCCTCAGTTTGTTAAAATCCAAAATATTAGTAATGCTTAAAGCAAATTAGATCTTAATAAATACTATAACTCATGTGGGCATCCTCCAGCTGCAGCTGTTCACGAGTCATGGATGAAAACTTGAAAATGGCTGAAATTTTGCAAATGCAACGCAATGAGCACACTTCTATCTGGTCATATGTGACCAAGATAAAAACTCAATTAGCTAAGTTCATTGAAGTAGCCTGTTGGAATCTCAATAAGATGTAGAAATCTTGACAATGTTGTAAAGGTTAGCTTTAGAGCCAGAATCCCTCCGTACTTCTGAAGAGGAGACCAGGCCAACATTGCCATTATTCACCCAAAATACACCCTATATCAGCTATTTCATGAGAAGCAAAATATGTCGATTTGGTGGGGTGGGGGGCCCATATGTTTCCAACAGTCCCTAGTATTGAAAGGCAATTACGCATAACTAATAAAGAATTAATTGTTTCTTACTCATTTAGAGAGTGACGAAAGTAAAAAAGTTGAAGTCAAAGACCTCTACATTTTTGTTCCACTGCTTACTTTCAAAATCAATCATCACACTTCTGGATTTCAGAGGCTTTTTTCTTCTTCTTCTTCTTTTTGTTTATTTATTTATTTATTATTATTATTATTTTAACAATTGGTAGGAGGGGAGTAAGGGAAAGGGAAGTTGCATCATGCGGTAAATAAGACTCAAACCCAAACATTATACTTGGTAAAGGAGCACCTCTACCAGGGCAACCCTTGGTCAAACCTGGATTTCAGAATTTATTGAATAAAGTAATTAATCTCTCCCCCACACATTCAAATTAAGTACGTTATTGGCATTTCAATCAATCAATTCATGTTCCTAGAATTAATTTTTGGTTGTTTACACATACGTCACTATTTGGAGTCCAACAACCCCAATAAAGGATTGTTGTTCCCCAAGGATACCTGAAGCATTCACCAATGCAGCCAGGATTGGATTGGCTGATATCTTAAAAAGTGAGCAACACTCAATTAATGTTCTTAGCATTTTGGCTAGATACCAGAATACTAAGCAAAAGGATAGGAAAAACATTCTTACCTAGCGCTCTCAAATTCAAGATCCAAACACAAACTAAACATTTCCCATGAGTATAGTGAACATTTTCTTAAACTTTTCAGCATGAGTATTTATACTGTCTTGGACATGGAAGTGTGTTACCTTGTCAAATAGAGTTTCACGGTAACTATGATTGGCATTCTTAATGGTGTTGTCAATGCTCAACTAACATATTTTGTAGTCATCAACAATGCAAAAGCATGTGAGGTTACTCATGTACTTTAACATGATATCACATACACGATTTAATTTTAGGGAAGTAAACACAAGATTCAGAATATCTTTTCCCCTATCTCAATCCCCCCTTCTTTTCAAGAGACATTTTTTCTCCTCTTAGTTACATACTTTTATTAATAAACAACCACAGATCTGACCAAATAAATTTCTTCGAAAAGCAGATCCAAAAAATGAAGAAATAATTGTGAAAAGAGTTCAAAATGTAGTCAATAGTGGTGAGCTTCCTAGAACCTTATAAAAATTTAAATTTGTATATGGAAAAGATATAACACTAACCTTTCAGCAAGCATTGCTGAGCCTTCTTCAAATAGTTCTTCTACGATACCAACAGCTGATAGCTTCTTAGATAGTTTATTAGCAGAATCATGAGACCTCTTTCTGAACAATAGAGCTCTGAGCTTGTTTTGCTTTTTTGGAGTAGGCAAAGGTTGTGGTGAATTATCAGGAGGAATTATGTCAACAACTATGCAGGTTGTATCATCCTTTAACCCCCTTGTCCTTAGAGCTTCCTAAAAAATCATCCATAATATGCAATAAGAAAGTGTTGTTGAAGTTCATTCACCATATGTATACCAGTAATCCAAATGCATGACCTAGGATATGCCAATAATGTTGTAAAAATAATGTAGTTAACTTATGTTCCAAGGTCCTGCTTGTGCAAACAAGACAACCAAAGAGAAAATTGAGCACAGTAATGAGTTTAAATTACCTTCACAACTTGCCTAGCGGCAAGTTCAGCAGCCAAACCACGGCAAGATTTTGCTGTCATTTCTGAGTCTAATGCATCCCAGATGCCATCAGATGCAATTATAAGCCTTCCACCTGCACTTGATAGCTTTTTATACCAAAGGACGAAGTCAGGGCTCAAGCTAATGATGGACCTAATCATATACATCTCAAAGGTATGCACTTTAACACTAAATGAGTGATAAAAAAAAATGCCTAAGCAGCATTAGAAATATCTTTAAATAGAAAGCGAAAAGAAAATTAATGCCAATGAGTATGCAGTATGAAGTGAACAAAGAACCAAATACCTTCACTTGTTTAACATAGGGTATTGGAACAATAAATTCTCCGACATCCATGTCTCCTATTGACCGTGAAAGGCATAAACCTCCTGGCCAGCACCGCAAGGGACCAACCTGTAAGACTAAAGCAGAGACATCACAAACTGTGGGGAAACTACCCAAAGGTATGACTTCCTTTATTTTGATGCGCCGGTAAAGAGACTTCTGTATGTATTACAGTAATAAATCTTATTAGAACTAGAAACACCTCACCTCAGCCCCACCAAAAATGCTAAGCCTCCCAACTTCACCTCCACTGGCAGTTACACGTTGCCTCCTGAAATTTCAACAGAACCCGTTAAATCTTGCTTCCAGAGAGAGAAAAAAAGAACAAGAGGGTGAAAGATAGACGCTCACTCCTCCACGTTTTCTTCAAGCCTGTGATCAACAGTTAAAACGGAGACAGCACCCCCTTGAGTATCTAAAATACAACGAGAGTCTCCAACAGATGCAACTGTCACTGTCCATCCATCAATTATTACAAATGTAACCGTAGTTCCAGAGGTTTCTCCTGCAGACAATGAAAATGAGGAAAAAACACAAATTTTTCTTCATTCACAACTATTTTGAGAACAGAAAATGCAAAGAAAAAGAAAAATAATTTTAAAAAATCTTTAAGAGTGCAAATTCTGTACCTCTACTCTGAAACTCCTTGTCAGTCTTCACAAAACCTGCAACTAATGCCCTAGGTAAAGCTTGAAGCCACTCATCCTGCCCAAGCCCGCGAGGAAGTGCACCCAACACATGATTTAACAAGTGATCCTTTGAATAAATTGCTGCAGCGTTCCCATTGTGCCCATCAAAGATCTGAAAATGGAAGGGGAAAAAAACACATGACAACTACCGTATCACAGAAAAAAAAAAAAAAACTACCGTATCACAGAGGATAGTGAAGCAATGGTGGGAAATATCATAGGGCATCAAATAATATCTTCAGAGATTGTGAGATAAATTTTTCCCTAGAAATGGGAACGCGAATAATGAGGCAGAGCATTGTGTGGCATCCACAGATGTAAGCCTGTTATTGCCCTTAATCCCTAGCAGAACAATAATTTGCCCAAGTCAAGCACAAAGAGTGAATTGATCTATCCAAAACCCAAGATGTAACAGACTCAACATGGATATCCTTTTAGTACATCTCCAATCATAAAGAGATCAGTGTTTAATGAAATTAAACAATACAATTGAGCTATCAAATACGGTCCTCACAGTAAGATAATTGGTATTGGTGACAGAAGAAGACAATAATATACAAGTCCTTTACTCCGTAAGGTGTTAAAATCATCAGAGAAAATAACACAGATATTGCATACCGCAAACACAGAAAATGTAGATGAAGGATTCCCCTGAATTCTCTGGCAATCAGTCCTTATCATGAAATAATCCTCCCCTTTCCTAGACTGAGCAGCATTCCCGTATCTCAAAGTTGGCTTCTCCACCTTCTCACTCCTCATCTCTCTGCTGATAAGTGCAGCTAGAGGCACAAGATTTTGGTGACGCCTCTCATTCCTCGACCCCATTTCAAGCTAATATCACCAAAATTCAAATCCTTTTATCTCCAAATCCAAACTTCACTAATTTTCCTCATCTCAACATTTCATCATCACACAAAACCGAATTCAATCCAAATTCAAATTCACATCCCACAATCCCCAAAACCTCCCAATTCAGAATCAGTTTTTACCAATCAACTGCAAAGTTTTAAACTTGATCTGCATTCATCATTTACAAAGCAAACTAAGATCCAGAACAAATTACCCATAAGCCAATTATTAATAAAAAAAAAAATGAAAAAATGAATAAATTGCAAAAGTAGGGTTTGATTTACCGGAAAATGATAGAATGTCTGTATGTGTTGTGTGTCTCACGCAATGCCAAATGCAGATCTGAAAGAGACTGGGAACAGACAATAAGCTACAAAGCAATAAGAAGAAGCCGAAGAATAAATCAACACGGAACAAAAACGCGGAATTGATGAGAAGATATGAACTGTAATGCCCAATCAGACTGTAACCCAAAACATTTTAATATTGCATTCTAGAGTGAGAATACATATAAACTACCTCCACCAGACACCCAAACAACAACAATTGATATTTCTATTAAATTAATAGGGATTCACAAGGAGAATTAACCTAGGAATTTTATCTCAATTGCTTCGAAACTTACAATTATTTTATTTGGAAAGAGAGAGATTGTGTGTGCAACCACCGCACTAGTACCCTATGTCATAGAGTCGGTTTTGACACAGATTATTTATTTTTATTTTTTTTACAGGAAAGTGTTTTCTCGGGAAAAAGGGAGGGAAGTTTCCAGGAAAGTTAAAAGGGAATTTTCAAGAAAGACAGGTTTCACATTTCTGTTATGGTTCAGCTTTCAGACCTCGGTGGTGGTGGTGGTGGTTACTTTCCGGTGAAATTTAAGGAAAAAGAAAAGAAGGTGATTCTGGAACTGGCAGAGAGCACCACCACGGTGCCCAATGATGTTGTAATTTGTAGAGGGGTGGAATTCACGAATTTTGATTGAGTGACGTAATAAATTGTAATTAGTGTGGATATAGCACGTAACACCCCACCACAACTAATCAATAATTTTTCGAGAAATGAGGCGTACAAGACAGTATAGTAGGGGAAAATTATGTAGTGGTGTACTGGTTCAAATACATGTGCTGCCATCAAGTGGATGTGCTGCCATTGGTTGTTTGGCATAGACTTCAAAAAGTCAAATTTAATTTTCAACAATGTTGACTAGGGGTTGTTTGGGATGATCTAAATAAGTGTACTTTTTGTCTTTTTACGAAAAATGTGTAGAAAAGTAGAGAAATAATGTGATAGAAAAAAGATAAAAAGATAGATTATTTGGGACTTCCCAAACTTGGCCTAGATTGAATTTTTATGACTTGAATAGTTCGAATATCTCAAAACGAAATCGCTTTAGGAGTAAAATGATATCGTTTTGATACATTCGACCCATTTAAATCACATAAATTTAAACTATCAAGCATTTTTCTTTAATTTTTACGGCCTCGTTTGGCATACGGTTAGAGATTAAGATTTTGTTTGACATGTATTAAAATAGTATTATTTTATTTGGGTTATAATTATTTTATTTAAATTATATTACTTCTCTATTACATCACTTCAAACTCAACTTATATTTTGTGATTTTTTTTGTAAAAATTCAAAAAATATACTAATTTTACACTTTCCAAACAACCTCTAAGAACATCTCCGATGACAAATATTATAATAGATTTGTTATTGCCAAATTATGGCAATGAATAATAGAAAATTGATGAAACGGTGCTCCAATAGTTCAGCTGTCAATTTGGCACAGAAACTAGTGTGTCCAAACGACCAACCGATCATCCAAACATACCAGTTTTTGTGTTTCTTTTGCAAAAATGGCACATATGGCAACTGCCAAAATTTGTGTCAAATTTGTTAAAAATTTTGCCATTTGCCAAATTTGGCAACTGCCACCTCTCCCCATTACAGCACATTTTTCTTTTGCTCCTTCCAAATTATGAGTTTAGCAACTCCCATGGGAGATGCTCTAAAGGTTGTTTTGAAAAGTGTTAAATTAATTAATTTTTTTATTTATTATAAAAAAATATATAAAAAATGAAGAGGTGGTGTAATTCAAATAAGTTAAAATTTTAAAAAGTTGACTTATAAGTCACTTTCTAAAAGAAGCAAATTAGCCAACAAAATAGGCTAATTTAGTCAATTTAACAAAATGTCACATTCAAATCATAATTTTTTTTTTTACAACCATCAAATCAACTAAAAAAAAAGTCAAAATTTTATTTCAAACAGAACTTTTTAAACCAGATTAAAATAGCCAAAAAGCTAAAAAATCATGCTAAGCCTCCGTTTGGAAAGTGGGTTAGCTTTTTGGCTTTTTGACTTTTTTGGCTATTTTAGCCTGGGTTAAAAAACTTGGTTTGGGAAGGACTTTTTGGCTTTTTGGCTTTTTTGACTTTTTTTGTGAGAGAATAATGTAATGATTATGGGTTGGATGTGATGTTTTGTTTTTTGTGGCTAAAATAGCCTATTTTATCTTTTGTGGCTGAAATAGCCAAAAAAGTCCAAAAAAGTCCTTCCCAAACGGACCCTAAAAATGTTTATCCAAACAATTTAAACTCTGTTCCTTTGATTTGTTACCAATCTAACCCATTCACCTATTTTAGTTTAGTAAAACTCCCAAGAGAATTATATTTTAGTTATTAAACTCAATAGACGTATATGAAAAATACCTAAAATATTTTTTTATTATTAAGTTTAATAACTAAAATACATTTTTTCCGTTAATTTTACTTAACAAAAATAGAAAGATGGTTTAGGATTTAAATTAATAAAATTAAAAATTTAGAATTTATTTTATTATAAAGGTCAAATTTTTGAAATTTTTTTATAATTTTTTCAAAAAAGAAAAAAAATTGACTATTTTTACTATTTTTTTTTTAAAGCTTCTATACTTTTTATTCAATTTTTAAATATATTTTTTTTAATCTATCTAAACCCAAAATGAAGATGCATTATTATTATTGATAGCCACTTTTCGAATTTATGTTATAGAAGATACATTATATCATAAATCTGAAATGATATATTTATATTAATATACCATTTTCATAGCGTCTTTTCTAATTTATGCTAATACAGAGGATACATTATATTAAATATATATTTTTTTAACAATTTTAAAATTCTTTAACATTTATTATCATTATCAATAACTATTCATTATATTTTACCTTGAAAGTTGAATCTTACATTTCTTAATTCAATTTTACGATTCGATTTATGAGTCTCTCATAACCATTCCATCTAATATCCCAATTTTAATAATTTTGATTGGTGGTCATGGGATCTATCACATTCATACTCCCTTATATACATTTTATCAATTTTTGTGAGTAGATCCTTAAAAGAATCAAAATGGTTTCATAATAAAAATTAGATTATGGGCAATTATTCATGGGAAATGTTTCGTAGCTCGAAACATTTTGCCTCGAATGGCTCGAGGGAGAAGACGTAAAGAGAAGCAGAGGGAGAGAAAGAGAAAAGTAGAGGGAGAGGGAGAGAAAGAGAGAAGCAGAAGGGAAGAGAGAGAGAGAGAGAAGACGATCGTCGTCCCGGCCAGCCGCCGATCCGCCGATCGTCGCCCAGCCCCACCGCAGCCTCCCACCACCGTCGCCCCGCCTCCGCCTCCTCCTCTCCCGAATATTATGCCCCCTCCAGTCCTCCTCCTCCCTCATTCCTCCTTCTCCTCCTCCTCCTCCTTTCTTCCTTCTTCTTCCTGGTCTTCGTTCTTCTTTTGCAAAAAAAAAAAAAATCGAGCCATTCGGGCTCCCCGTTTTCAAAAAAAAAAAAATCTTGCCATTCGGGCTCCCCGTTTTCGAGCTATGTAGCACGATCGATTATTCATAAATTTTTCCTCACTTACTTATATTTTATTTAATTCAAATTATTTTTCAATATTTCAATCACTTTTATGAGTGACATAGTTACCAAAACACCCCTAATAATAATATAGTGAAGCGCATTAATATTTATATTGACAATTGAATGTTCTGTGATATGAATATTCACATTGTCAAATTTATTCGATGTGAATGTTCACATCACCAAGTTACTAAGGGTTGAAAAAATATTTGCAAGGATAAAATTGTCTATAAAATATCTTAAATATGAGAATTAAGATTTGATAAATCAAATGTCCAAATAATAGGATTTATTAGAATACAAGAATATTGTATGAACTAATTAGGACACAAGTATTTGAAAAAAAAAATCCCTAATAAGTTTCTTTTATTTTATTATATTTATCTTAATAAAAATTATATTTTATTTTTTAAAAATAAATATTATAAATTTATGATTATTAGACGAATCTAATTTCTTTTATAAATGATTCAAGCATAGCTCCTTGCCAAATAAATAGTTTAGATTAGATACAACATCCTCTAGTCACTATGTAGAGCAAGTAGAGAATCATCCATCTTTTGCCTTTGTTTGACAAGAGAAGTTATATATTGCAATGCACCAAGTTGGCGCTACAACTTCATAATTATTAATTATTAATTTAAACCGCAAGGCATATCACTTGTGTATTATATTTTTTTTTGAGAAACTCATAATTGGTAATTGACTTTTAAATATTTAATAATTTTCAATGCTTTCGCAAGGGGCAATAATGAAAAGAAAAAAAAAAAAAAATAGAAGACCTTTTATTAGTGTGTGAGAGTTAAGTAAAGGATGGGAGAATTTCTAAATACACTTAAATATTTTTATTCTTATTTGCCACATGCATTATAGTTCTTGTATATAAAAAATAAAAATAAAAACTTTACATGTAAATATAAAAAATAAATTTAGTGGTCGCGAGGCACAATTTTCATGCTATTTTTCTTTTTGTAACAAATTCAAATAAAAAGAAGGATAAAGCTTGGGAGCTCAAATGAGCTCCCTCCCGAATCCCCCGAAAATGGAAACAGAGGGAAAAGAGGGGGGAAAAGAGGGTGAAGGCGAGAGAGAGAGAGAGAGAGAAAGAGAGAGAAGAGGAGAGAGGGAAACAGAGAGAGAGAGAAGCTCGGCCGATCGTCGGCCAATCGCCGATTGTTGCAGCAGCTCGCCGATCGTTGCAGCAGCTCGGCCTCCGCCTCGCCTCCGCCCCTGGTTTATGCCCCCTCCTGTCCAGTTCTCCCTTCTCCCTTCTCCCTTCCCTTCTTCTTCTCTCTTCTCTTCTTCTTCTTCTTCTCCCTTCTTCTTCTTCGTTTCTGATTCAACCCAAAAAAAAAAAAAAACAAATGGAAAAACGACGTTGTTTTTTAAATTAGGAGGATTCAGGGGTTGATTTCGAACTACGTAGCATTACTCTAAAAAGAAATTCCAAGTTGAATTTCTCAAGTAAAGTAGGCAATAACCAAGGTAAAAGTTTCCTATTCATGACTGAAAAATGCTCTCTAATAAGGTCCTTTTACTTTCATTTACTTGGTGATATTGTGTGGTTTATTTATTATTATTATTATTATTATTATTATTATTATTATTATTTATTTATTTATTTTGAAGCAATGTGATGGACAACACAACTGGTCCCCAAATGGATCAAGTGGATTTTAATAAACCAAAAACTTTATCAGCCAAGTTAGATGTGATTTTCAAACATAATGGATTTAATTCTTTACACCTAACCACATTATCATTTTTTAAGTTTTGAATTAATTCGAAAACTAAAAACAACTGTGTCCTTGTGATCTCTCAATTTCTCAAATCTTAACCTTATCCAAACTAAAGTTCCAAAAAAAAGGAAAAAAAAAATAGAGGACTTGATTGACGAAATATTTTCTTTTTATCCTTAACCTAGCATAAACCTCTAATTAAGGATCTAATTAAGGAGCTCCAACGAAGTCACTCTGGAAAAAAAAAAATGAAAACAGTGAGTTGTTTCAAACCTTTCATTGTTTTTGTCTCTAAAAATAAGAAAATCAAGAATGGAAATTAAAAATTAAAACAAGGATTTGAAGATGATTCCAAATATAACATTGGGGAATGAGT